AAACTTTAAAATAGTTTTAAAGAATAATCTTCCACCTGCTAGATGCAAGATAAAATCTTCACTCTGTAAAGCATGCTGCAGTTCTGGGCTTTTGCATTCCTTTGTGTCTTATGATACAAATCTCAAGATGTTGTTGGAATTACACCCACAATTCACCAAGGAGCAAACGTTATAGGGACAAAAGAACAATATTCAAGAGCAGCTAGTTGTAATAAGCATAAAAAAGCATTCCAGTCCACCCATGATGGCTTATCAGTTTTTTTAAAGTATTTCTTGATTTTTATGCTTTTGTGAAAAAACATAATGAACATAATTCACTGTGCACAGAAGTTTTAACAGCTGTTCCATTCATATAGCAAGGAAATGCACCCCAGTGCAGAGGGGCCAATGCAAGGCAAAACTTAAACATTTATGCATTTATGCATAACTTACAACCATTGAAGCCCATAACAGTGGGCTTCACTGGTGTGTTGGACCTTGGATGGACCGTCTGAACATGTGTGCTACAGTATATCAGTTTACTGCTAAGACACTTTGAAAAGATCATCCAGTGTTGTAATAACAAAGATTTTAAAAAAATAATTTTGGAAGAAATATAATCTTTCGTATTCTTCAGGGCATAAATCAACCTCTCATTACTGCGGATAAAGAAGAAACTTTCCCTGTGGGCATGTTATTCACTATACCTGCCTTCTGCAGGGCTTCTATTAACTTCCTTTGACAGTAGCCAGGACCAGCTACTTCAGAGACAAAATGCTGGATTAGATGGAGAACTAGTCTGATCTAGTATGGCAATTCTCATGTTCCTAAATCTTTCAAAAAAGTTCACTTAGCTTAATGATGCTGATTATTTATTATTAATATTAATAATTTATGGTGAACTTGTACAGCATCTTTCATGCTGAACAATTTCAAAGTGTTTTACAAAATGATCAGCAAATTATACGTAAGTAGAGATGGGCATGAGGCACAAACTGGAATCTGAATTTAAACTTTCCCAGAGTTTGGAGGGTATTCAGCTGTAGGGATTTAGGCTCATCCCTTTATAGAGATGAGAACACCTGTGAAGTTCAGATTCAGGGATATGATTGCTCTCTTTAAATATATCAGAGGGATAAATACCAGGGAGGGAGAGGAATTATTTCAGCTCAGTACTAATGTT